GGAACCCGGGAACCCAGCCTGCTACCAAAATCGGCGGGAAATTTTCGCCAAATCTTTCAACTTCGGCTCGGACCCCTTCAGTGCAAGCACTGATTGGGGAACAGGAATAGATCCACAACGGCGTCTAGGCTGCGCGTGCGGAAGCACGCGCCGCTCCGCGCCATGTAGATGCACTGCCTGCACGCGTCGTGGCCCAGCTTGCACGATAGGGAGAGCGCGTTCAGCCAGCGCCCCGCCCACTGGATGCGAGCGTGTCCCTCTGCAGGAGGAATGTGCAAAAATAAGGGAAAAATGGTACGGAGACGAATTTTTGACCATTGTTGACAATATTGGAGCATTTTTTGATTATTCATTTTTTCCTTTGAGATCCCCCCGTAGGAGGACACGCCCGACCTTACACTGGATGCGAGCACGTCGGCCCCGTCCGCGCTGGCGCGTAGTTGCCCCGAGTGTAGGCACTCCCGCCAGCGTCGAAACCCGCGCTTCTACCTTTTGTCAGCACGCACTCGGACGAAGTCCCGATCCATGCCCTGCTACACTTTCTCCCTGCAAAGGCCCTCCCCTGGCAGGTCGAGGGGGTCAGCGCGGCCCACCGCGATCTTTCGAAGGCGATGTTCGTCGCAGTGGCGTTTGCGACTGCACGGCGGCACTGCAAGTACGCGCGCGTGCAATGTGCCGCTTGCGCACCGCTCGAGCGCGCAGCCCAGTACTTGACCCGCCACTCGCGCATGTGGGATTCAACGAAACCGCTGCATCTCTCGAAATGCTGTGCATCTTTGAAGCCGTTGTAAGCTCAGAGGACCCACTGGGACTGCATTCGGAGGACCTTTAAACAGGGTGGCGGCACTGCGCGTGGACGCTCTGGCACGGTCCCCCACGGATCCCGCGTCGCGCCGAAGTGCCTTTAGCGGCAGTCTTCGGACGGCCTTTCGACATCAATCTCGATCGAGATTCACCCCGCTCATCTCGAGCATCGGATGTTTTGCTGGGGCGCAACTGGCCCTGGGGCCGGCGCAGGGCGACCGGCAGCTCAGGATCGGGCGCGTCGCGGCTGATGCCCGACTTGACTTTGTAGGCCGCCGCTAGCGCCAGCGCGATCTGAATGCTGGAGCCCCGTTATCACCCAACGCCCGTGGACCTCTCGACGCTCTCACGTCGACTATCCCTCGAACGACTCATACACAGCCAGGGCGGGGTGGGCGACAATAGTTCTCAACGTGCACTGGCCTTCACCAGGGCTCGTTTGGCCGCCTGCACCCCCCTCGCGAGCACTGCAGCGCGACTAATGGACCCGCGGAGCGCGCGCGCCGCGTACTTGGGCCGAGATTTCGTCACCGAGCCCGTCAAAACTATAGCACGAGGATCTGCCCTTCCCTGTTCAAGACCAGGGAGGAAGGCCTAAGCAAACGTGTTTCCCGGCCTGGCCGAAGCATCGAAGCTCTGGGCATGGGGTCGAGGGCCCGAGAGGATTTCAATATGATGCTACAGTGGATCGAAAATGGCCCCAAGATGAGCCCGAACTAAACGGTGCCAACATGACCCCGACTCCCGGGCGCTCCTCGGCTCTCCTCCGCACTCCTTGGCACCACTCCGCACTCGTCCGCACTCCTCCGCACTCCTCCGCACTCCTCGGCGCTGCTCGGCACTCCTCCGTACTCCTCGGCACCCCTTGGCACCCCTCCGCACTCCTCGGGACTCCTCCGCACTCCTCCGCAGCCATCTCCCAAACCCCGCCGCATTCCTCGGCGCTCCCAGCACTCTATCGCGCTCCTCGGCACTCCTCCGGACTCGGCGCTCGTCCGCACTCCTCCATTCCTCGGTACTCCTCCGCACTCCTCGGACTCCTCCGCACTCCTTGGCACTCCTCGGCAATCCTCCACACTTCTTGGCTTTCCTCGGCTCTCCTCCGCACTCCCCGGCACTCCTCCGCACTCGTCCGCACGTCTTGGCGCTCCTCGGCACTCCTCGGCACTCCTCCTCGTCCTCCTCCTCGCCCACGCCGCGATTCATAGAGTAAGCGGCTACCCCATTTCCAACCACCTGTTCCGGATCATCCAGCGGATCCCCTCGGTGAGCTGTCGAGGGATAATGTGTGTAGCGAATGTCTTTTGCCACCGCCGCCCCTGCGCACAAGTCCGAGAGGGGTGCCAATTCCTGCATTCCCAGGCCGAAAGTTTGTCCTCTTGGAGTAAATGAGAACCATCGGATCCAATTTAAATTGTTTGTCGGGTGTGCGACAGTCTCGTGGATCCTACTTCTTCGCTTGGCGGATCCGACTTCCAGGGTGGGGAACGCAGTGTATCCATCTATCCTGCTGTAGTAAAACTTTAATAATACTCGCTCGGCGCAGAGATTCCCGCATGTGCATTTCATACTCCTGTCACGTCTCGCTGAGGAACTCTGCCTATGAGCATCTGGGTGTGCGCGCGAGTCCGCGTATACGACATGCGCGGCAACGACGACGACAACGACAACGACGACAGCGACGACTTCAGTGACGTCTTCCTCCTCCTCCAGACATCTTCAAGGAGAAACGAGGAAGCACACATTGAAAAACGAAGGGGGCTTCCTGTTGTCATTCTCCCCGCGGCAATTTAAGCCTGGCGTGCTACTCGCGACGCCTGCTGGCATTTCGGGGGCCCCAGTGCCACGCCGGCTATATCGCGGTATCCACTTGCGTGTGAGCTTTAGCGCGAGTGAATCTGAGCGTGAGTGATCTGAGTGTGAGCGAATCGGAGTGTGAGTGGATCCGTGGTATGAGTGAGGCTGAATGTGAGTAAGCATGGATAGAGCCAGTCTGATTACGAGTGTGTCTGAGTATGACTGAGTTTAAATGCCGGCGGGTCCGGGCGAGTGGTTCTGAATGTGAGTGAGTCTGAGTGTGCGTGACTCTGAGTTTGAGTGGCATGACGAATATGTATACATACATATATATATATATATGAGTATGGGTGAACCTGGGTGCGAAGTAGTCTGAGTATGAGTGAATGTGCGGGTGGGTGAGTCTGAATGTGATTGGGGATGAGTGTGAGTTGGTCTGTGTGTGAGTGAGTTTGAATGTGGTGAGTCTGGATACGGGCGAATATGCATGAGCGAGTCCGAGTACGGTCAAATTCGAATATGAACTGAATGTGAGGAGTGAGTCTGAGTGAGGAAGATGTGCTGATGATCCAGTCCGAATGCGAATGAGTGCGGCGGAGTGGGGGCCAGGGGAAGGTGGCGAGTGAGTGAGCGAGTGAATGAGTGAGCGAGTGAGTGAGTGAGTGATCACGAGCATCCCCACTGTGTGGGTGCGACTCCTGAAGTGTTTGAACAGTGAATGGATATGAGCGAGTGTGAATATGAGTGAGTACGTGTGAGGAAGTGATGTGGCTGAGTCTGCGAGAGGAAGAGTGAGTCTGTGATAGAAGCCGTGCAGAAGAATGGGCTTGGCAGGTCTGTGATGGCCCCCGTGATGGGTGTAAGTGGTTTGAAAATCCGCATCCGAATGATATCAAAGTGCCGAACAGAGAAAGGAGGAATATAAGGAGAACGGAAGGTCGGAGGCGTCTACGTAATAACAAAAACCAGATTAGGAAAAGGGATATCTCGCACCGGGGGACTGGTATCCACAGGGCACCGCACCTGACACACAACGAAATGATTATTCGGGGATGGGGGTTCCCGTTCCTTCTCGTCCTCTTCCTCCTCCTCATCATCATCACCGTCATCGTCATCATCAGTTCGAGCGTCACCGCGGGTTCGCTCTGGCCCGCTCTCACAACACCGTCATAAGAATGGAAACAATTTAACGCTCGATTATCATTACGGGCCCAGCCCGCTCCCATCATTTCCCTTACGACATTGGCATCACTCGGCCTGCGGAAGTAGCGAGCAAGACAAGGTGGGGTAGGGGGCAGGATGAGGAGACGGATGGGGAGGAGCAGACGGAGGAGGAGTAATCAAAAAAGGAGCAGGAAGAAGAGGAACAGGAGGAGGAGGAGGAGGAGGAGGAGGAGGAGGAGGAGGAGGAGGAGAAGGAAAAAGAAGAAGAAGAACAGCAGCAGGAAACCTTAAACATTCCCCGGAGTGTCCAACACGTGCCTGGACGTGTGTGAGCCCGGCGCGCGCAGATGGCAACAATAGTCAAGGTCATCCATGGGCGACGCGCGGATTCCTGACCCGCAGGTCCCCAGGTGTTGTTGCCCACGGGCCCCGGCCGGTCACCTCACAAGGAGAGGGTCCCAGCTTGTCGGCTCGAAAAGAAGGGCTTTGGATGAAACGGCTCCTGGAGGCTTGTCGCCAGTGGGGATCTGCCAGTAGCATGAGCGAGCAAACATTTGCAGTGCTTGTACAATCTGTATTCCATGATCCGACATCCCATGATGCCGTGGTGGATTTAACCGTTTAGAGCTCTCTCGATACGGTTTGCGTAAAGATACAGTCGGACCGAGGTATGATATCGAGGTCGGTTCGGGGAGGATACCCTCGTGTTCTTCGTGTTTGTAGGAGGTTCTTGCGCACCCTAGGGAGGGGTACCCTTGGATGTTCTGTCTGGTTTGGCCGACAGAGAGTCCCACGTTCTTGAAGGATGCTCTTCTGGCCTAGGTCCGACTGTAGCTGCGCTTCCAGATTGGACCTGCTCCCTCGAATTCGGGCTCCTGGGGCCCTCACCAGGTCCGGGGAGCCATCCGAAAGCGGCCCGGGATGCCGACACAGGCCTCGGTTGTGCTCGCCGGGCTTGCGCGAATGTGCGACAGCCGCGCGCCGTGCCCGGCAATCACAGACAGTGCCGAAGCAACTCCTGGAGGGTGCCGTGTCCGTGTCTGTGAGGGTAGGAGGAGAGGAGAGGGGTGGGGGAAGGGGCGAGGGGAGGGGAGAGGAGATGGGAGAGGAGATACCCGACAACTCGAGCGCCCGTGCGGATTGCCTCTGCCGTGACGCGACGAAACAAGTGTGTGAGGGGATGTTCACCAGGAGAGGTTCAGGGGCGGAATCTGGAATGAACGCATGCGCGCCAGGTAGCCTACGTGACCAGCTGCTCGCACATCTTCTGCGAACAGCACGCCAAACAGGTGCTTAGTCTGCTTCGGGGCCCAGTCTCAGCCAACCGAACCCCCCGCTCGATCATTTCGGTTGGGGTGGGAGCGTTCACTCACGGTTTTCTGGTTCTTCCGCAGTTTGCCATCATTCTTTTTGGGGTGCGTGAGGTGCCCAATCGTGATCAGGGGGTCCAAGCAAGGGCGGTCAACCGAAGCACACTAAGATCAGGTGTTCAAAGGAAGGGACACTTGCCCGTGCTGTCCTGAACAATCTCGGCGTGTCGACGTTATATCGCTGGACTTGTCACGCAAGAACGTGGTCCGCAAAGGGCGGATGTGCCTCGTAGGCATGAACCCTACGGAGATCCAGCAGGCTTGTGAGACGGCCATGTGCTTCTGGATGACGCAGAAGTCTTATGAGCATGCCGCGGCTGAGCAGCGCCAAGCCACCAAGACGGAAAAGCTGGCATCGACGGAGAAGAGTGTCAAGATTCAGATGAGCACTTTGGAAGGGGACACAGAGGAATTGAAGGCTCAGCAGCAGCACATCCAGAAGAGTATCGACGAGACGCGGAAGGCAAGTGGCGACATTATTGAACGTAAGCAACGTTTGAAGCGAGAATTGGCAGAGACAGAGGATAAGTACGCTCGGCTGGCCAAGCCACATGGGGAGCCCCGCAACTATCCTGCCTGCATCCGGCAGCAGCCGCAGCAGCATCAGCGACAGTCGCCCTCGCTCATTGATTTTGGCAAGAGCAGGCCTTCGTTTAGGGAGCCGGCGCCCAAGGAACGACTGTTTGCACCTGTGTCTCCTGCACCGGCGGCCAACGAGGCAGTCAGAGGTTCGTCAACACCGTGGCTCGCCCCGAGTGCGCGGAGGCCCAGGTCCCCGCAGAGCACGGGCGCCTTCTTAAATGCACGGGAATCTGGTCGAGGAGTGCCATCCTTCACCCCAGGATTTCTCGGTACCGGCCGGTTGACGAAGAGGAGGCTCGCAGATTAGCGAGACTATGGCAAGGAATTTGGGTGCTGTTGCTAGCAGGTCTGTTGCCTGTGCTGCGTAACGTCGCATGCAGAGTCTAGAGTTCAGCTAGACAGGAGCACTATATCGATAGGAATACTGTGGTTCGTTCACGTACTCATGCCACTCCCAGTGGGATGCTCGGGCTGGGAGCGTCTGGGGGCAGAAATTCCACGCCAGATTTGTCAAATGTTTCCGTTGTTCGTTCCCAGTGTGATGCCTGGGCCAGGAATGTGGGAGCAGAAATTCCGCGCTAGATTTGTTAAATGGTCTTGGTTGGTCCCCCCGGTGGGATGCCTGGGCTGGGTGCGTTTGGGATTGGAATTCCGCGACTGATTTGTCAAATGGTCTTGGTCGATTCTTCCTGGTGGGGTGCTCAGGCTGGGAGCGTCTGAGAGCAGAAGTCTTGGAGCAGAAATTCCGCGCCAGATTTGTCAAATGTTCCTGGTTGGTCTTGGTCTCTCCTGGTGGGATGCTCGTGCCAGGAGCGTCTGGGAGCAGGAATTCCGCGCTAGATTTGTCAAGTGTTCCTGATTGCTTAGGCTTCCTCCCAGGGGTATGCTCGTGCCGGGAGCGTATGGGAGCAGAAATTCCGCGCCAGATTTGTCAAATGTTCTTGGTTGCTCCCTCCCGGTAGGATGCCCGCCCCGGGAGCGTTTGGGAGCAGAAATTCCGCGCCAGATTTGTCAAATGTTCCCGGTTGTCCCCTGCCGGTAGGATGCTCGGGCGGGGGGCGTCTGGGAGCAGAAATTCCGCGCCAGATGTGTTAATTGTTCCCGGTTAGCCCCTCCGTGTAGGATGCCCTGGGCGTCCGAGAGCAGAAATTCCGCGCCAGATTTGTCAAATGTTCCGAATGGTCCTTCCTGGGATGCTCGGGCCGGGAGCGTCTTGAAGCAGAAATTCCGCGCCAGATGTGTCAAATGTTGCTGGTTGCTCCTCCCCGTAGGATGCCCCGGGCGTCTGTAAGCAGAAATTCCGCGCCAGATTTGTTAAATGTTCGTGGTTGCTCTCTCCCGGTAGCATGCACAGGGCGTCTGAGAGCAGAAATTCCGCGCCAGATTTGACAAATGTTCCTGGTTGCTCCCTCATGCCCGCCCTGGAGGCGTCTTGGAGCAGAAATTCCGCGCCAGATTTGTCAAATGTCCCTGGTTGCTCCCTCCCGGTAGGATGCCCGCCCCGCGAGCGTTTGGGAGCAGAAATTCCGCGCCAGATGAAAAGCCGGCGGTCCTGGGCAATCAGTCGAGACTTCCAGGGACCCCGCATTGAAAAAATCACGACACCGGCTCTTTGGGTTCTTGGTTGCCCCCTTCGGTGGGGTGCTTGGGCCGGGAGCGTTTGGTAGCAGGCATTCTGTGTACAATTCATAATGTTTTTCTGGTTGGCCTCTCCAGGCGCAGATTTTGCTCCGTTCTTCGGAGTCGAGGTTCGCGTGTTTGGAATTATTCCCGGCTATTCCATGATAGGGCGTCTTCGGGCAGAGAAATTCTGTAATAAAACATAGGTGTGTTCCATTTTCATAATTGTTTGCGCTCTTTGGAACCAGGAGTCACGTTTGAACAAAATTCTTTACGCTTCGCGTATCCCCACCAGCCCATCTCACAGCAGCAACTCTTGCGAAGCATGCCGACAGTCGTGTTTTTCAGGCGTGCGTCCGCTTGGCCCCGCATATCTCCCCTGTTCCTCCTTCCTCCCGCCTCCTTGTACATCCTCCTTGTGGGGGGAGCGGGAGAAGGACGAGGCGGAGGAGGAGGGAGAGAAAGCGCTCCTCGTGATTTGAGTCGTTTGGGGTTTCTCGTCCTGGTGTGAGTCGTTCGGGCCCTTCTTCCTGGTGTGAGTCGTTCGGGCTCTTCGTGGTGTGAGTCGTTCGGGCTCTTCGTCCTGGTGTGAGTCGTTCGGGCTTCTCGTGGTGTGAGTTGTTCGGGCCCCTCATCCTGGTGTGAGTCGTTCGGGCCCCTCCTCCTGGTGTGACTCGTTCGGGCTCCTCGTGGTGTGAGTCGTTCGGGGCCCGCGTCGTGGTGTGAGTCGTTCGGGCTCCTCGTGGTGTGAGTCGTTCGGGCGCCTCGTCCTGGTGTGAGTCGTTCGGGCCCCTCCTTGTGGTGTGAGTCGTTCGGGCTCTTCGTGGTGTGAGTCGTTCGGGCCCCTCGTCCTGGTGTGAGTCGTTCGGGCTCCTCGTGGGGCCTCTTGGGGGCCTCTTGGAGCCTCTTGGGGCCTCTTGGGGGCCTCTTGGGGGCCTCTTGGGGGCCTCTCTTGTGGGGCCTCAGGGGGCCTCTTGGGGCCTCTTGGGGGCCTCTTGGGGGCCTCTTGGAGGCCTCATGGGAGGCTCCTGGGGGCCTCTTGGGGCCATCTTGGGGCCTCTTGCGACCTCCTCTGAAGCGCAAAGGAGCGCTGCCCCCTGAGAAGGACAAAATGAGCCCAAAACCTTCGTAAAATCAATGATTTTGCGATGAAGGAAGATGAGCGCGGCCCCCTCAGGAGGCCAAAATGGGGCCACAACCATAGTAAAATCAATGATTTTGGCTTCCAAGAAGAGCAGAGGGGCCAAACTGTATCCCCCCGACGGGGCCAGAATCCTCGTGAGGGTCGTCGTTTTTTAGCCCTCCCAGGAGTCGAAAAAGACCCCCCTGACCACGCCCCGGACTCCCTGTCCAGGTCCAGGGGGAGGGGGTAGGGGGAGGGGTAAACCCCTCCCCGGAGGGGAAGAAGGGGGGTTGAGGACAGAGAGGGCTCCCTAAACCACTCACGCCCAAAGGGCTGGTGGGATTAAGATTGTGCTCGCACGTACACACTTATGTAAGTAGATGTTGGGGAACCATGGGACGGCATTTGAAAAGGCGCAGATATCGTCTGGAAGGCATGGTCTTGAGAATTTGTGCGATTGATCAGTAGTGGCGTTTTGGAGAATTGCGCATCTCCCGCCGGAAGGTGCGCAGAAGCATTGGCGGAAGGCTGGCGGAAGCTACCGTGCCGATTGCCGTGGACTCGTCCAACATATGATACTATTGTCTTGCATTGATACCGCACCATCACCAGGAGTCATGCAGAAGCATTCTCCCATTCGCAGCCAGATTGCCACGCCAAGCACATCGTGGACGGCTGGCAGAAGTTTAGCGGAAATTGGCGGAATGACAGAGATAAACGCAGGTGTGATGGGCGAAAATTCGCGGAAGGTTGGGGAAGGCCGCGGAAGGAAAAGAAGAGGCGATGAGACATCTAAGCATACATTTTCCGAAATGCATCACATGTGAGTGTTGCCATGTACAACTATAGATATTCTGTATTTCTGAGCGCGTCCCAGGCATCACAGGTGAGTAGCTTGGAACACAAACGTATTGTTACTCTTGTGTGTGGTTGGGGTGGGCAACTTCCGCTGTGTATGGTTTGTGTGTAGGAGCCAGCAGACCAGTATCACGGACCTTTCGATTGCAATTTGGGCAGGCGGTTTGGAGTCCCTGAGGTCTTGAAGCCGCCGTGGACTGCTGGAGAGCTCTTGATGTCCTCGACGGATCCCGAGGGGATCTTGGAGACCATCCGAGGACCAGGGTGCTCATGAGGCTAACTCAGGGTTGGATACGTTGAAAACCGCTTTGGGCCCCCAAGTTGGCCGAGATTTAGTTGTACAGATGCGCAAATGTATTGGAGCATATGTGCACACACGTGCAGTCGAGCAGGTGTATAGACTTCAGGGAACAGTTATATAAGGGCGCAGTTGTACAACGTCTTGGTCTATGTGAGAAGTTGTGCATGGGTGTCAACTCATTGGTGATATGCGGATCGTGGTACAGGTTCGTCTGCCAACTTAGCCAGATCGAAAGAGTCAGCGGGCCCCACCAATGTCACCCCCCCTCCCATCATCTAAGAACCCGTGGTGACACAACGTTCTACAGTAGTGGGACTGGAACACGTTCCCACCTAGCGAACGGAAGGCGTTCCCGCGCGGTCCTGCTTTCCGACGACCTGGCGAGGGAAAAGCATATGCATCTCACGGGCGGCAGCAGAACGTCCGAAAATCATTGCGCGTCGCTGCGGCGAGAGCACGGCTGAGCCTTCTCCGAGCGGCCAATTACCCGATGAGCGCGGCGAACGCGAAGCATACACCGCGCCGAAGCAGCACTTCCAGCTCCACGCTGCGAGGCGCCTGGGCGAGGGCAGCGTCTCCCCCGCTCTCGCCCGGCCCCGTGGTGCCGCTGTCGTGCGCGTCGGCAAGGGAAACGTGCGCCGCGCCCAGGCAGGAGCGCCACTTCAAGGCGCCATGTGGGCGGAGCTCGAGCAGGGGCGACGAGTCGCCCGCCCGCGCGCGGCCCCGTCCCAACGCTTTGGCGAGTGAAAAGCATGCGCCGCGCCGAGGCGGGAGCGCAACTTTCGGGCGAAATCTGCACGGCGCCGATGCGAGAGCGGCATGATCGTCCGCCCGCCTGTCGACGAATGGGCGGGCGAAAAATGTCCCCCGTGTCGAAGCGGGAGCTCAAGTCTCAGGAAAGCACATGCTGGTTTTCAATGTCGACGCCCAAACGTCCATGTTGCCAGGGACAGCGCAGACTTTGAAAACAGGGAAGCAGATGGAAGCACCCAGATGTTGTCTCGATATGCTGGCTAGGTGGCAGAATATAAATATCATAAATGAATATGGAATAAGGATGCGCATGTGTGTATTTGTGTGCTGATCGCGAAACACGTACTTCCGGGCGCAGGTGTATGTATCAAGGAAATTGCACGGATGTAGTGTCAGGTACATATTCAAGTGGACGTTTTGGCTCATGCTCCAGTGAATCCGCAGGTGCAAATAAGGATGCAGGAAGACGAGGAGCAGCATTGGGGACAGTCGTTATCTTTCGAGGGAGGAGGAGGAGGAGGAGAAGGAGGAGGAGGAGGAGGAGGAGGAGGAGGGATGATGGAGGCGGGAGAAGGATGATGAATTTGCGGATGAGGGGAACAGGATGAGGATGAGGAGGAGATCGAGGAGATGGAGGAGGAGGAAAAGGGGA